ACCAAACGGCCGCCGCATCGGTAACCCTACGAGTCCATACCCCTGTAAAATAAGAGGTCTCTCACGAGAGCCTCTTCATCCTCATGCAGAGGCGCTCGTCGGGATCGTCCGATGACAGCGCCGACGTTCCTGTCAAGATCTCGCGCCCTCATGGACAAATGAGGCTAGGCGACGTGAGCTCTTCTGTCCGACATTCCCATGATGCTCGCCAATCAGAACGTCCCCAGAAAGAGGGCGCTAGATCGTCATCCGCTAGGAGCCGGAGACCAAGCAGCAATATCAACTGGAGACTTTCTCATAGTCGCGATGGGTCTACCGAAAAAGTACCAGCAACCTCTCGTCTCCCGTCCACGACATTATCGCCAGACTACCCGAGTATGGAAAGTGAGAAGACGGCATCGTCAAGACGAAGGAGTCAGCCTCCACGATCTTGGAGCCCCTGGGCTATGTCGCTCTTGACCATCTTTACAAGCGTCGCAGGCCTCGGCATGCTGGTTGCTGTTCTATATTCTGCTATCACCCTACATTGTGATCCCAAGGGCTGTCGCATGTCCTGGATGAGTCCGTCATATGCTAAATTCAGCGATTTCGATACCGAGCATACTCGGTTTGCTACCAAATACTCGTTGTATCTTTATCGAGAGCAAGGATTCGACAATGGACCAAAGGTATGGAAATTAAGAATTAATAGCCACTTCCGGATTTAAAATATTGACTTAATGTGTAGATCAAAGGAATACCAGTGCTGTTCATACCGGGGAATGCTGGTAGTTACAAACAAGTCAGATCCATTGCATCGGAATCTGCTAGATATTTCCACGATATTTTGCAGCATGATGCCGCTGCCATAAACGCAGGCGCTAGGAATTTAGATTTCTTCACTGTAGACTTCAACGAAGACTTCACTGCTTTCCATGGGCAAACCATGCTCGACCAAGCTGAGTATCTGAATGAGGCCATCAGGTATATCCTTTCCCTCTATCTGGACCCAAAGATATCAGAACGAGACCCGAGTCTCCCGGATCCTTCATCGGTTATCATACTAGGCCATTCTATGGGGGGCATCGTGGCGCGAACTATGTTCATCATGCCAAACTACCAGCAAGACTCAGTCAACACGATCATCACCATGTCTGCTCCGCACGCTCGACCTCCTGTCACATTCGATCCAAAAATTGTTAGTATCTATAACGATATCAATAACTATTGGAGACGGGCCTACTCGAAAAGGTCGTCGGCTGAAAATGCTTTGGGCCAAGTTACCCTGGTGTCCATCGCTGGTGGTGGTTTAGATACTGTTGTCCCATCAGATTACGCCGGTCTGGAATCCATCGTACCTGAGACTCACGGTTTCACCGTCTTCACATCTACAATTCCTACAGTTTGGACAAGCATGGATCACCAGGCAATCACGTGGTGCGATCAATTTCGGAAGGTCATCGTCCGCGCGCTTTACGATGTCGTCGATAACCGCGGGAGATCACAAACTAAATCGAGAGCGGACAGGATGAAGGCATTCAAGAGGCGGTTTTTGTCCGGCTTGGAGAGTTTCGTTGAGAAGAGCCTCCCAGAGACAGCCTCGTCGACGTTGTTGACGCTAGAAGATCATTCAACCACCATCATTCCTCTAGGTGATCGTCTTGTTCTCCGCGGCCTAGGTTCGGACAGAAAAGCCAAGGCATACCTTCTCAATATTCCGTTAAGTGAATTTTCTGAAGGGAAGAAGTTGACCCTGCTCTCAGACAGCAAACTCGATCGACCAGGCGAGGACGAAAAACTTGAGGTCCTGTTCTGTAATTTCTACCCACCGCAAGCTGGACAGGCTAACCAACCGTTCTCAATGAACATCGATCTCTCCGACGATACCACGGACTCCACAAAGGACTCAACTAAACTTGCCTGTAAAAATGCTGCGGCCGATGTAGTATCGCTGCCGGCTTCTTCACGTCTCACGAAGAATCCCTTTTTCAAGAAGGATGAGTGGCAAATCCCGCCATTTTCATATCTTGAGTATGATGCTGAAGATATATCAGACTATGGGTTTGTTGCAGTCATTGATAAAACCACGACTCCGACGGCCGGATGGTTGGTAGCTGAATTTAGTGATAAACCCGACGCTCATTTAACTCGACATATTGGTCTAAGGCGTCTCTTTAACTTCGGGTTGTCGCTTCATCTTCCTGCGAACAGACCAATGGTAACCGAAGTGAAACTCCCATCGGTTCAGAGCAGCTTGTTGGCGTATAATCTAAAAATTGACGGCCAATCCTGTAACGAACGGGAACAACTGTTTACTCCACTTGTCCGGCAGTATCTTTCTGAGCCTTACGAGTCCAAGTACTTTGTAAATGCCCACGAGGTGGAGATCAGTCTTCACGGTGTCTCACCTTACGTGCCTCCACCCCTGAAGCCCAGACAGTCTGATGACGGCCTTAGCCTTCAACTCTGGACAGACCCGACGTGTGATTCGAGTATGTCAATTCATATTACGATCGATACTATGGGCAGTCTCGGAAAGCTGTACATGCGATATCGCACCGTTTTTGCGTCTTTCCCCTTGCTTATCGTTGCACTCGTATTACGAAAGCAATTCCAAGTATACGATAGCACTGGGGTTTTCATCCCCTTTTCCGAGAGCTTAGACTTCTGTCTTCGACGATCGCTACCGATGTTATTCTTATCTATGACCCTCCTATCGCTTTCGATGGGCCAGTCGGGCTCGACTGGGTCAAAAGGTTTCCGGTTTTGGCAGAATAGCACGGCTGATGTTGACTTCGCGCAGAACGACCTGCTAGTTGGTACTTCAGATCCGTTCTTCTGGTTTCTGATTCCAATGATAGGAATTATCTGTACTGGAGTGTGTATGGCTCTACACTGCCTCACGCTATGCTTCACCTGGCTGCTTAGCATAGTCTACGGCTGGGTTTCTGTCCGGCCAGCTGTTCAGCTGCAAGAGAAGAAGCGAGCCTTGTCACCAGCGTTCGCACCTTCACCACCACGGAGACGGCTTATAACTACTGTGGTTCTCCTTTTGCTCGTGTCGACATTCATCCCATATCAATTTGCATACACAGTTGCATGTCTCGTACAGCTGAGTACAGCTGTCCGAGCCCATCGATCTGCACGCGAGACCTCGTCACCTGCAACCGTTAATTTCAATAACTACGTCCATTCGATTTTCCTCTTGATGCTATGGATTCTACCGATCAACTTGCCGACCCTGGTCGTCTGGGTACGTAACTTGGCTGTCCACTGGTTCACAGCGTTCTCATCGCATCACAACGTGCTATCGATCCTGCCGTTCATCCTCTTAGTCGAAACCCTTACCACCGGAAAAATGATTCCACCGGTAACAAGCCGGCTCCGGTACCTAACCGACATCATATTCTTTGGTATAGCCGTTTATGCAGCTATATACGGCGTTTCGCATGCTTATATGTTGCATTATTTAATAAACCTAGTCGCAGCATGGCTTGTAGCAATCCATTCGACATCCGACTCCTGGACTCTCGCCGGAATATCCTCCATATTCGAAGGCGAGCCGGCCGAGAACCGCAAACAGGGTAAAACTCCTTGATATGATGTCAAGAGTCAGATTTACCCGCTTAGTGATTTTAGGGAGATCCTGCGGGTCATGCCGAAAGATGTGAATATTAGCCAATCTTGAATTTATTTTTACATCATATCGCATTAGATATGAATAAGGATCGGTACTGGGCCTCCAGCCTTGTAGAGACATAACCTAAATTCTTTGTATATACATCCTAAACCGAGCTGGTCAATAGTGTCGAGAAAGCCGAGCGTCTATCTATTACTAGACCATTCTCGACACTTTCTTATAGGTAGAGAACTCTGTACCGAACGGTCTACATCTTAGCATGGGATTTTTCATCTTTTTCTATGAGGGCTTCTTGTCTGTTTCTACGGCTTTGCATTAGCATCAGGGCTGGAGTTTTGGTTTTAATGGCGGTCTGGCTAGTCGCAAATAATGGTGACTTTGGTTTTGTCTTCGAGCCGTGTGGCCAAAAGCTTACTTGCATAATGCTCGACTACAAATTATTGTCTCCTGGGTTGGTAGCACGGCTGCGGCCGGAATTCTTGTACAAAACACCGGTTCCCAACTTTCAGACGTGCGGGAAACTCAACTTAGGGACACGGGTTTCTTTCTTCATCTATTTTCCCCTGCTCTCTCTCTCTCTCTCTCTCTCTTTTCCTTGGGAACAATTATAAGAGACGGTCGGTCGGGGGTTCCTCATATTATTCTAGTCAAGAGTTGGGTTATAGATATGGGCTTGGGAACCGATCGACAGACTTACCCGCGTCCGACGGATGCAACAACCTTAGGTACCTAATCATAATCTGTAGGGTGGAAGGGGACGCGCCGAGAGGTCCGCTTGAGGGCCATCCGGAGGACCTTGGTCAGTTGGTAGAGACGGAAGGAAGTAATACGGATTTTGTTCCCCCCCTCCCAAGAAAGGGGACTGTGGCGCGCTTTGGCTGGCTGGATAAGGCAGATGGCGTCTCGGTCTTGCGTAGCTGGGATAGCCTAGATCGCAATAAACTTATGTTCAAGTATTCTACGTTTTATTAATACCCAAAACCAGTATGACTTAGATTCCAGAGCCCAACTCTTCACATGTAATCTTCACAACCCAGGGTTTGAAACATAAAATGATCTTCAAGTGTGAGTGCACTGATGTCAGATAAGTCTTAGCTCAGACATGACACGAACACTATTGAAATTCTATCGTAAGGAAAAGTCTACTGCCGTCTGAGTCTATCTACCTACGCCCTAGCAGGAGCTCCGAGTCTTTACCAATCCCGGTTCTATTTGGAAACAAAACCATAACGCCCGCACCTCCAGGGCGCCTCACTCTATCCCCCAGTTCCCCTACCATGTATATCCCGTGGAAACCAACCCAACAACACGCTTCAATATGAACACCGAACGATTGCACAACATGCACAAAACATGGCAGATAAGATCTGCGTGTTGTATCTCACTCCCTAGCGCGGGCCTTACCAGCAGATTCTGCGAGTCGCGTCTTGTGCTGATGCCAGATGACCCAGAGCGTAACCACGAAGCCGAGGCCACAGGCGGCGAGCGTGACAAGATACGCAGCCCAATAACATTCGAGGCCGTCAACACAGGAACGCACGCCATCCTTATCAATGATAGAATGGGCGTCGAAGACGGATCCATAAAATAAATTAAAGATGTTGCTCGAGATGACGGGGGACAGAGTCATGAAGCCCCAGTTCTGGCTCAGGCCGTGGATGCCGAAGGACTCGGCGACGATGGACGGGAACACGCCAAACAGGAACCCGTAACCCAGCCCGCTGAAGCCGGACACAAAGCCCAGCAAGTGAGGGTTCGTCACGTTGAGCGCGCAGATCTGTGCCAGCGAGAAGATGCCCGATGCGACTACTAGGCACCACACACGGCTAGCGTGGAGTACCTTGACGAGAAAGTCGGATCCGACGCCGCTTAGCAGTCGCCCCGAGAAACTGCCGATGGAGAGGATGGAAACGTGCAGCTGCTGACGTAGGACAAGCGTCTTGTCGTCGATCGAGTCGTCGTAGTGCCTCCAGAGCGCTGTGACGTCGTTTCCGATATTGCTGGTGGGGAGTTAGAACCGCCTATTTCGGGTACAATAGCGCGGATATAATATACGCAGGCGAGGTAATGGGGTGATACTCACTTAATAGTCATAAGGCCGATACCCGAGAGTATGCCCATGATGGTAAACAGCTGCCAAAACTCGACGTTCTTCAAGAGGTTGAAACCTCGGATATCTACACGGTGAGAACGATCCATATCAACACTGCTCTGCACTAACACTTCACCCGGTAAGGAGGACGTGGTGGACTGGGATAGAAGCGAAGACGTTTCATCGGAACCATCGCGGGTACCTGACGGCGCTTCATCGGTGTCGACAGCTCGGCTGTCTTCCTTAGGGCTTGGGGGGTCTTGGTCCTCTTGTTCTGAGGCATCTTGGGTCATTTTGGAGTTGTTGGAGGTGTCAGAGGTGGCGTTGAACATACCAGGTTCAGATGGATCCCCACGAGCAGCACGTATCTTGGACTCGTCCGACGTTGTACGGTGTAACTGTCGGGAATCTGCCATGCCTGGTTCCGCATCGGGTACAGCATGGTACGGCGAGTGAGGCGGAAGCACGCGCAGAAAGAAGAAGCCAACGAAAGTCAAGCCGAAGGTGCCATAAGCTAACAGCATTAGGAACTTGCTCGGGCTGCCGGGGAAGAAGACGGTGCCGATGAGGGCGAAGAAGAAGGCGCTTAGACCGAAGGCGGCAAGAGGAAAGGCGGTAGCGGTGCCACGATGGTGCGGCCAGTTCAAAGCTGAGGTCTTCACGGCGGCAGCGAAAGCCATGCAGCCGCCGAGGCCGGTTAGATACGACACGAAGCACATCCACGGAACGGACCCTTGACCGGCATCATATGCCTGGTGGAGCGGGAAATAACCGAGACCTAGTAGGAAAGCCCCTACGATGACAGCGGGGCGAGGACCCTTGCTGTCGACGAACATGCCTACGGGAACACCCATCGAATACATGCCGAGATTCCCTGCCAACCCGATCAGGTTGCTTTCGGTAGCAGACAAGAGTAACTTGTCGGCAAATTGGGGTGCCCAAGCCGAATAGACATACTACCGTTCGTTGTCAGAGACGTCCAAGAGATGAGAGGTGCCATCGTGGTGGTGGATGATGGATGATGGATGATGGATGATGTGTCTTGTGTCTTGTGTCTTACATTAGTTCCGCAGGCCAGCGAGATGACGGTCGCGGCGACGCTCGATACAATACGAGCATTGTAGACTTGGCCCGATACAGTCATATTGAAAATCACAACGAGTTAGATACTAGGTTAGTTACGATATCATGTCTTTAGGTACTTCGCCAATGACCTTTACAAAGGGGGGGAAAGGAGGCTACAGTGAACAATTACGAAAGATACGAAGGAATATCAAAAGAATAGATCAATAAAAATAAGATCGGAGGCTGCGATATAGCACAGCAAGTTGTGTGATGCCGGAGAAAATAAGGCGTATGCGTTTCTAAAAGGCTAGGTTTGCCATGCCGAACGTAACGATAGGGAACGAATGAAGTGTACAAAAGTAATCGGGCGTCGTTGTCGCAAAGATGATGAGATTAGATAATGGGATTGATAGGACGACGTCGAAGGAGTGGAGGGTTTCTGGGACGTGTCGCAATCGCAGTCGCAGTCATTAACGGGGGATTGCGCTTTATCGGCTTATCTCGCATCAAACCCCTTACTGTTTCGGGCTACGAGGCGGATCGACTATCCTCATGGGGCGTTAGTGTACTGCGGTATCTCGGCATCGGGCAAGAGCTTGGCTTGGGATAAGTTTAGGTTAGATAGGTAGATACCTAGGTAGGTAGGTACCTTAACCTAGGTATGTACATAGTGTGCATACATATGTACCCTCCGTAATCATATCGGGCCGTGCCAAAGAGTCGATCTTTATCTAATCCACATCTTAAGTACATATTGCATAGTTACATTATATGTGTATGTAATGTAATCCGTACCATAGGTCGGTATTTGTTGGATATATTGGCCATGGACGTCCCTGCTTAGCTTGGTGCTATACCCAATTCATAGTCACCGCTTGAATATAACTAATCCATTTTGAGTCTGAGCCAGGTTAGAAAAATCGAGTTAAAAGTTAAAAGTGGAGGTTAATATTCTAGAAGCCATCGCTACATGTAGGTACCCATGTATGAAAGTTGAAGGTTACGAATTAAAAGGGGCTTTTTCTTAGCCTTCTTTTCGTTACTTTTTGAAAGTGGAGAAACAACCTGGAACCATTTTGAAGGATTTAAGATGGTACCAAGTCGGGTATAGCGCAGTATAGTACGACGGCCAATTACTCTTGTCTGTTGAACACGATCGTACATACGGTACCCCTACACTTGTAAGCTATCGGTAGTCGTCGGCCGGGGGTGGAGGGGGGAAGGTTTATTCTGGGGTAAGCTACCTACATCTACATACATAACACCTACATACCTACATACATACAGGATTCATCGCGTAAGCATATTGAAGATGGTTGAAGATGTTGGGGTCGTTGGGGAAAGTCTTGTCTTGTTCAACAGACGAAGAAAAAGGAAAAAGGAAAAAGGAAAAATCTAAATAAGCACTCCATAATTGTAAATGTTGCCATGAAACTGGGTTACATAGTTAATATATTCCGTATCTTCCGAGGTTACGAAAACCAGGACAAGGCTTTGATGTATAAACCACTTTTGATTCAAACCTCCAATTAACTACACCCTCATGTGGCCCTTTATGACCCTTTATGGCCCTTTACGGCCTTGCCCCCCAAGTCCCCTAATTTTAATTTGCGATCATCAGTGGAGAAAAATATGTACTGCAGTTTCTGTGCCACTTCAGGAAATAACAACATCCCGACCTATGGCTTTGATACGTCATGTAATCGATGTAACCCCGGCCTCGTAACGAGACACAACATGTTCTGCATGTCCAACATACATATGTACTGGGCCACCCGCGCTTGGTCCTTTATAACTTGACCGGATCGTGGCCCAAAAGTTGAAACTTGCGTTCCTTGCCTTCTCTCACCCATCTTCTCCCATCACTTATACATACAAACCCATAGCCGTCGTCACCATGGCTACGTTCGCGAGTCTTCCCGCCGAGTTGCGTATAGAGATCTGGGATCTCGCGTTACATCAAGAAGCACGCGATCGCTTACTTATAATTGGCCAGACCAAGAATGCCCCCATCACCAATGAGTCGCCGCTCTGTCTCCTACCCCTCAAGCACCACGCAAGCCCGCTGCTCTCGGTCAATTCCGAGAGTCGCCATCAAGCCAAGGCCTTCTACACAGCTAAGCTGGATGTCTACGAAGTTCCTCGCCTCACCAAAGAAGACCTCGGACGTAACAGCAAATGCTCATACCAAGTGCAATACATCAATAAAGCCATTGAAACCGCTAGCGTGGTGAAGGGCTCTATCTATCTTAACCCGCGATATGATTTCTTCGTCTCGATTCGAGGTATTGACACCTTCCCGTATCCCCAGGAAGAAAAGAAGGGAGAATTGCTCGACGAGCAACAAGGGGATCAGGAAGCGCCCCGCCACTATATCACGGCGAGGATACCACCAGAGATCGCCATGAAAGTCCGTAACGTCGTCTGTATACAGAAGAACCTAGACAGAGACGACGACTTTTACGACTGGTGGTGGACAGACACGTACATGGAGAATCTGCTATACAACCGGGAGGAACTCGTGCGATATCTCTGCGTCCCACCCTTCCGGCCCCGTTTATACGGACCCGTTTACGTCAAATACCTCTGGAGAGCTTCCGATTTCAAGCAGATCCAGAATTACCTGCATCTATGGCTACCGCAAGAAGAACTAGAAAGTTTCATTTCCAACGTCGTCAGAAACCGTGGTCGCGGCTCTTATAACTTCCGGGAATGGTCTCTACATCCGCATAATCGTATACCCAAGTTGGTATTACTTGACCTAGGAGAAGATCCACAGAAGCAAGATGAAGATTGTGCACCGGTTGAGGCACAAGCCAAGGCCTTGTGATAGAGAAACTGAAACTGAGATCAATTAGTGCGAGTTGATTTTGGATTTGGTGTTTTGGGATTCGGCTCAGCATTCTTTAAATACCTTGGGAATATTTTCACGGCGAAACATTTTTGCAATTGAGGATATGTCTCGTTGGACTTGGGGAGTTATGATAAATGGTGAATAGGTACCGAGGAAAATGGGTATGATGATCCACATGTAGCAATACATTCGCTTTTGCATTTAACAATACACGATGCGCATAACATACCGAAGGTAACAATCGGTCCGTTAACCATCTCAGACTCTACTAGTTTCCCAGTTGCCGCGTCAAGTATTTCATCTCGCAGAAAAAGCAACTTCATTACAAACAGAACTCGTCAAGACAATATGTAAAAGCCATGTGATGGAATATATAAGCAGTGTCCGATGCATTTGATTTATATATATAAATTTAGTATAAGGCGGTTAGTTTGTAAGATCAAGAAGTGTAATTGTCATCGTGGCCCTAAGACAAATACGTAACTTCGGCTTGCCCAGTTCCGCACGCGGTGATTTGGTCTCCGGAGACCCGTTTCGTTAACCAGAGCGACGAATAACAACCACCAAACATAAGCATCAACGAGGTCATTATTTTTAGAAGAGAACAGTTTAAAATCCCGCCGGTTAGGATCGCAAATTCGTAAACTGCCTTCCAACCATGCGCCGTGGCGAACGCCTTGATCTAGAAAGTTGTGTTGCATCATATATAATATATAATAACTATATAATATATAATACATAGTTCTTGGTGCTGGAGCCTTTGCGATAAATAAGGATGGATGCTCCTGGTCTATTTTAATGTCGGTTTCTTACCGTTATCAGTCGTTTGCTTACTGACTATAGCTCGTAGAGATATTGGACTCGTGAAATCCCAATTCTCATTCACCATGCCTGTGTCCACCGCCTCTCTCATCGCCTTGCTCGGTGCCTTCGTCACCACAACTCTCGGGCACGGATACGTCACCGGCTACGTAGCGGACGGTGTGCAGAAACCTGGCTTCTTGCTAGATTACTACTATGACAAGAAGAACGGAGGGACCGTGCCTCCGCTCGCCGCCTGGTACGCCGAAAACCTCGACAGCGGTTTCATCTCCCCCGACGCTTACCAGACCGCCGATATCAACTGCCACAAGAACTCGGCCCCGGGCTCGCTGACAACGACGGTGAAAGCCGGCGGCTCCGTAGTCTTCCAATGGGGTACCTCGGCAGGAGGAGCGTGGCCGCACCCGTACGGCCCCATCATCGACTACATCGCTCCCTGCGACGGCGACTGCAGCAAGGCGGACAAGACAAAGCTCAAGTGGATCAAGATCCAGGCCAGCGGCATCGACGCCGCCACGAAGGAGTGGGCGAGCGCGAAGCTGATCGCGAACAACAACACGTGGACGACGACGATCCCCAAGTCTATCGCGCCCGGCAACTACGTCCTGCGACACGAGATCATCGCTCTTCACGGCGGAGGGTCGCTAAACGGCGCCCAATCCTACCCTCAGTGCTTCAACATCCAGATCACGGGCTCCGGCACGGCGAAGCCCAGCGGAACCCTCGGCACCGCGCTGTACAAAAACACTGACCCGGGTATCCACTTCAGCCCGTACGGCACCATTACGGATTACCCGATGCCCGGCCCGGCGCTATTCACTGGCTAGAGAAGGATTCTTGAAGGATTCAGAGCGGGCCGTTGTCCGGCGAAATGTGGATAAAGCCAGGGAAGAAACTCGGAGCCCGTTGTTGTTCGGATGATAAATAGGTAGCTAAGCTTGAGGAATAATATAAATTAGCTATTTAACTGACGTATATGATTTTGGCAATTTGATGTTCTAGTGAAATGTTAGCTTGACAATGACTTATTTAGAAGATGTATAAATATATAACTACATGCAGGTACCTAGGCTTTCTCGCATCAGTTCTAGAATAATCTCAGTTTATGTAAAGATACATATTACTATACATATTATACCCACTTTACTGTATCCGCGCGCGTCGCATGACCCTAGGTACCTACCTACATGTACGTAATGTGATGCCAAGCACCTAACCTAGGTAACAGTACAAAATGGTCCGTGCGTAAAAACCACCCATCGCAGCCGCACGGCGCCACGCCAACTTCCGACAGCAACGCCTCATCCTATCGTAAACCCTCTATAATTAATTCTTCCCTTCAACAACATAAACCCCTACTCTGAAAACAACAAGAACAAAAAGAAACACCAACTCGATATTGCAACCTTTCATCCAGGATGGGAGCGCTCCTATCTCTTCCCTTCCTGGCGCTGCCCGGCGCTGGCACGGTATGTTCAACAGCCCGATTCCTTTAATCGAACATATCAAAAACTAACAATAATCCAGCTGGTATCTTTCGCTGGTAGCTGCTGCGGCGCCGCTACCTGTTCTATGGTATGCAGTGCCTGCGGGAAGTGCGGCAACAGGTAAGATAGCCAGATTCTATTATCCTATACCGTTGTCGCAATGCGCAGACTAACTAACATTGAACTCCAAGTGTTGCTACCCGTATCGCCTACGCCCTCCTCCTCCTCGTTAACTCGATTCTCTCGTGGATCATGCTCACCCCTTGGGCCATCGAAAAACTGCAGCATTTGATGTTGGACTATGTTAAGATCAACTGTCCAAACGGCAAGTGTTCCGGCTGGCTGGCCGTCCACCGGATCAACTTCGCCCTCGGGCTCTTCCACCTTATCTTCGCAGGCCTGTTATTCGGTGTCGCCTCTACGAAAAACCCGCGAGCTTCCCTCCAGAACGGCTTCTGGGGCCCTAAAATCATCGCTTGGCTCGCCTTCATCGTCATATCGTTCCTTATTCCCGATGCCTTCTTCCAGGTCTACGGCAACTACATCGCCTTCATCGGCGCTATGCTCTTCCTCGTTCTAGGTCTTGTTCTCCTCGTTGATCTTGCGCATAACTGGGCCGAGTACTGCCTTGAGCAGATCGAAAGGACCGACTCGAAAGTCTGGAGAGGCGTGTTAATTGGTTCAACCCTCAGCATGTACATTGGTTCGCTTGCCATGACCATCATACAATACATCTTCTTCGCTCATAGCGGCTGCTCCATGAATCAAGCCGCGATTACCATCAACCTCCTATTATGGATTGGTATTTCGATTATCTCGGTACATCCAATCGTCCAGGAGTACAACCCTAAGGCTGGATTGGCGCAGGCCGCCATGGTCGGAGTTTACTGCACATATCTCACCATGTCCGCCGTCTCGATGGAACCCGACGACAAGAAGTGCAACCCCCTAATTCGTGCCCAGGGCACCCGAACGACCTCCGTGGTGATCGGCGCCATCGTAACGATGCTAACAGTTGCGTACACTACCACGCGCGCAGCAACCCAGAGTCTGGGCCTAGGTAACAATAGGGGAGGTATCAAGCTTGCAGACGACGATGAGCACGATCTCGTGACCCAACAGCCCGGACGTGAGGAGATGCGAGCAGTTCTACGCCGAGCAGTCGAAGAAGGTAGTTTACCCGCCGACGCCCTGCTATCCGACGACGAGGATGAAGAAAGTGGCAAGACGTCGCATGATGATGAGCGGGGCAGAACCCAGTACAACTACTCGGTGTTCCACATCATCTTCTTCCTGGCGACGTGTTGGGTAGGCACGTTGCTCACGGGCACGGTGGAAGGTTTAGATGACCTCCCTCAAGGCAGCGACTTCGCGACCGTCGGGAGGACGTACTGGGCTAGCTGGGTCAAGATCGTCAGCGCTTGGATCTGCTACGGCATGTACGTCTGGACCCTGGTGGCACCTATCGCCCTACCGGAGCGGTTTGACTTTACCTAGAGTAAGCCGTGAGTCGGGAGTCTTTTGTATAATCTAGTTACCTATTTTGCTATGTTAGAATGTTGAAGCATTGCTTATTAGAGTGTATTTGAAGCAAGCGTTCTGTATTGGTACTTCGGCTTAATTGAATGCTCAGTTGCGCGAGTTCTTGCTTGTTGCCTCTTCTTATATGTGTTGCCGAGTGGTTGCTCGTGTAATCTAAGGAGTAGCTGCGTGCTACTTTACTAAACCAGAAGATCACTTCATAGTAATCAATAGTACTAGATAGCTGGTAGGCTATGTACATCTTGGAAAGTGATGTTAAAGGGATAAGATCTAGAGCTTCCTATTTAATAGTTTTGTACCGAATCATTAGTGAAGATAGAAACCTTGGGTGCATGCGGGATATAGCAGTTGATAGTTCTTGAATAATAATTATAGGAAGTATACTGGAAGTTATTATATGTTATTTATATATCAGTCTATCTGTTGTGGTCTTAGTTATATATATCGTTTAAAGGGACTAGATACATCGGTCTAGAAGGGTGTCTCGAGGAAAGTAAAGCATATATACATAGATAACGTAGTTACACCTATTAACCAATCTTAGAAAAGGGACTTGCCTCCAGGTGGCAAGAGGTCAAAGAAAGGCTCATGCTTTAGATTGCTGCTCTAATAGATCTACCAACTTACATTTCCTCCCCTTTCTTCCCGCCTCACTTAAGTCGATTTATATAGTACCACATGCCTACGAAAAAATGAGATGGTATTGGTATAAACAAGGTAGTTGATTAGAAATCACATTTCACACATGACGTTGGCGCCGACTCACAGTGGTACAATGTAGATACAGCCAGGCTGGTATTCATAGTAAGCAGGCGGCTATGTGGTGGGACGTCATAACCGAGGCGAATAATATATTCTCGATGCTTGTTATACTTGAGCCTCCAGCCCAGCACCAACCTAGTATACAGGAGCTGAGTATTAAAGATATCAATGGACTAACTACCAAGACTTGTCTTAGAGTTTATTATGGTTACGTACATGGTAAGTGATGTATATATATGTACCGTGCCGATATCCAGGGTGGCGTCAGAGCCTCAACGGATCCTAATCAGGCCACCAGGGGCATGTCAGAACTCCATGACAAGTCTTGCCGAAACATGTTCGTCACGACCGCCTCCCCCACGTGGATTTCAACTGATCAAGGTGCCTGTGTAAGAGCTAAGAGCGCCTTGGGTAGCCCGGTGTGTTGTCTCAGTTGAACAACAGCATTGCCGTGACCACCCACGGCAAGCAGCTTCATATAAATTAAATATGACCTATCACACTGCGGAAAATAACGACGTGATAAGCTCCTTATCTTAGGCACGTAAGAAAAAAACGCCTTGTCGTCGCTTCATTGGACTTTGGAACGAGGCTGATCGGCTGGGCGCTTTCGATCATAGCCGGACCATCTTTCTAGAGCCGTGGGAGAGAATGGCAGACGAAGGGAAACCTTCTACCTACCTACAATGCTATGGTGTCGCTCAGGGGCGGCGGCATAAAATCACCCCATATACGCTCTGCATGCGGGCATGTATGTATGTCTTAGCTATACGCCGACTTACATACGAGGCTTGATTTGATATTCCGACTTGTTTGCTCAAATGCACATACCTACCTACCTACCCACCCACAGATAGCGAAGAGCCTTCCATTGATACCGAGAAGCAGCAGCAGCAGTGTTGAACGACATCGAATTTGCCTCTGTCCATTCTACAATGCCAAGATAGCAAACACGTTTTATTGGTGTTGTACTGCCTCCTCTCCTGTCTCTGATCCTGTAAACGGTCGACTGAGGAGATGCCTCCTCCTGCTCCTGCTGCTGCTGCTGCTGCTGAGAGACCGTAAGAGTACCTAAAGAATGGTCTCACAAAATAGGGGCGAAAGAGAGAGAGAGAGAGAGAGAGATGTTCCCCCGAGTCGGCGAATCAGACAAACACAGACATGTCCCCTTGTAAACAAGCCAAGCGCGCTCGGGTACTGCGACTCGAGCGAAAGAAATCATAGTCATTCAGTCAGTCAGTCAGTCGTTCGCATGCCTGAGGTGTCGCCCGTCAAAGGCGGTGAAGTGCTGCAATTGCAATCGCAGCTCTGACGATACGTAGACGTAATGATATCGACGGGTACGCGCATATCCCTTGCAGGCGCCAGTTCACCTGACCGCCCCGTCCCCTTCCCCCGTGCCTCGCCCTCGAAATAGCTTAACAACTCGCTTCAAGCTGATAGATCGGCAGTCAGTGGCGCCTGTCTATCTGATCCGATGCTTAGGTACCTACCCAGGTAGATTGGGACGACCGTAGTGTGTGTGTGTGTGTGTGTGTGTGGAGGAGGGCGCCTCGTCTGAGCCCAAAGAAAAAAAAAGCAACATCTTTATTTCCACATCCAACCTTTTTTTACTATTCGCCGGTCGAAAACCAGCAAACCCCCTAACCCAACGAACAGCATATGGCCATGAATAAAGAGCTCTTAGCAACGAGTGGCATCTTCCACGAGCCGAGTTTTCGCTAAGCCATACCTAATTCCAACAAGCAGCACGCCTTTGGTCCATCTGCGCGTGTTCTGTGTCATTGGATGATGCAAGCCACAGTAGCACACCTAGATCGATAATGGAGAGCGATCGTTGCACGAGCTGGGGGGGTATTGTTATTCGGCTTTTTCGACCTTCGAAGCGTTACTGCTATGTAGATTTGACTCATACCCGGCATACATATGTACGCCAGTCTGTGTGATATATCCAAGTATGGTGATGTGACGGACGACATTTTTGCAGTCATATTCTTACTACTTGTTATCCGCTTTATCTTGGAAGGCCAATGGAAACTCGCTCTCAGCTCTACAGGTCGGCGTGGAGGATGTGATGAACCCACAGGATAGAGCTACGTAAGAAAGGTTTGTTTCTGTCTAGACACCGAACCACTACGAGGACATGCTTGTTGCCAATCCTCATATCTATATAAGAGTCAGGTCTAGTCATGCCTAAGACGAGAATTGAACCCTCAGGTTTACCCAGACAGTTTTTATCTTCTAATAATTTCTTCATAATATTATCAGTTTTAACTCTGGACTTGTCTTCTCAGAGTCATCAGCCATCGATCGTTGAGCCTCGTATCTATCCCATAACTCATCTCCCCTTTAACGAACACAATGCCACATAGTACTCATGAGGCCGAGAAGATGCCTGACTGGTTCGTTAAGAGTATCGCCGAGAATAAGATTTTAATTCTAAGTAACGTATATAGCGGCAATGGCACTAAGACTGACAGCAGTTCCGCGCAAGGAACATCCCATCGCGGGGGAGGTTCTTCTCAGACGACCATGCTAGAAATCTGGGCAAATGAGACCGAACGCGAGAAACTCCCCTTCAGCGAGGTGACCCAGCAACCGCCTGTCCAGTATGTGTCGCTCTTCTTTGTTTTAATGCCGTCCGTATACTAAACATAGGTCTAGACCACCTGCGAGGCATTAACTTTGCTAGAGTCTGCATCAATGTGTACAATGTAGCTCAAGGAGACCAAGCCCTTGCGCAGGGGGCTAGGGGTAGGGTGCGTGTTACAGTTCCTTATGTACAATGGTTAGTAAGAGCAATAGATCAGCAATGGAAGATCGCTTTGTTTTTTTTTTTTTGTGAGAACATGATTTTTCTGCAGTGTCACATCGCGATATGCCGCGATAGGCTCCAAAACACGGAACTTCTGCAGGATCTCAAGATAATGTAGGCTCAGACGGCGTATCGTTGCTCGAATTTGTGCTTCCGACCTGTGCTGTAGCTTCTACCGCATGAAAACCGTCAAGCGTAATTGTCACTGCACCTGCTTGTACGAGCTGATTGCCATTAGTATAACGATGGTATGAAAGCTGACCTATGTTGTGACACTTACTGCACGGGATAGGTCGTCGACCAGGTCATGGACATCTTCAATACCAACACAGAGTCGGATGATGTCCTCGGGCATCTGCCGCTCCTTTCTTGTCTTTGCGTCGATGCTAGCATGGCTCATACGGCACGGCATGCTGATTAAACTGTTGACACACCCGAAGCTCACGCTGATTCCGTACAGCTTCGCAGCTTCGACAATCCTCTCAGATAAGGTGACGTCACCGGTCTCGAAAGATAGGACTGCCCCGGCACCCCGCGCCATGGACCAATGAAGATCATACTGCGGATGAGATTTCAACCCAGGGTAACGTACGCGGAAACCGTGAGACTCGAGGAATTCAGCAAGTACTTGAGCGTTCGCTTGTTGCTTCTCCATACGAATTGCTAGCGTCTTGACTCCCCTCATGAGAAGGAATGAATCGTTCGGAGAGAGACCGCAACCGGTAGCGTTAATAGTGAAATACATCTTATCACCGAGAGAAGTGTCATTGCACGCGATGACGCCTGCCATAATATCATGGTGGCCTGACAGGTATTTAGTACCTGACTCGTATACTATATCTGCCCCGAGTTCGAGAGGATTGCATAGCATAGGAGACAACATGGTATTGTCAACGATGACGAGCGCCTTTGAGTTAACGTCGTGGACAGCTTTCGCGATTGACGGGATATCGACAATCTTGATTAAGGGGTTGGTCGGGGTCTCCAAGAGCACCATGGAAGTCTTGTCCGAGACAACCTCGCGTACTCTTTCGACTTCTGTGGTATCCACATGGTGGACAACGATGCCTTGATTCGACGATAAATATGTAAGTAGCCGGTTGGTACCCCCATACAGATCATCACCAGTGATCACCTCATCTCCAGGACGCAACAGCCTAGTAATAACGTCTAAGGCGCCCATGCCGGAACCAACAGCAAGGGCTCGGTTAGCATTCATAATCTTAGCCATATGGCGCTCTAGATGCGTTCGGGTTGGGTTGCCCGATCGTGTGTAGTCATATTCATCGCCACCCTTAGAAGAGGTCTGCTTAAATGTAGCGGATTGGTAGACTGGGATGCTTGAGGCACCGTATTGGTCTTTGGTTTCGGTATAGACAAGTTCAGTAGCAAGAGCATAACGTCGACGGCCGTTGGAAGGACTCGAGGGAGCAGGTGAAGGGGGTAGAGTATGACCGTCGATATCGACCTTGGAAAAGGCCTTGTTTTGAGGTTTAGAGTCGTCCATGGTTGGGTGACGAGATGAAAACAGGACCTCTTGGCGGCCGAAGGGAATCTAAAGATTTAAAACTTAGACCCAGACCTTTTTTTATGGAGTTAAGTAGTTATCAAAAACACCGGTAGAACCCAATTGACTTGCTAATGGCCGTTAAACTACCGTACTCTTTTAACAAAGGGCGATCGTATAAGTATATTAGAGAGATGATTGGGGCGACTTCGAGGTAAGAACATGAAAAGATTCAGTTTAGGTTATGCTGACGGATGTAAATCATGTAAAGAAATTCCGTGATTGCTGGTCCGAGGTCGTCAGGTT